CGAACACGAATTGTTCGCGAACAACGAGCTTTTTTGACAACCCTAGTGATGGCAGCTTAAATGTACAATTACTTGGTAAGGGCATCATAATGTTTATACCCTTGTTGAGTTTGGGAGTTTCTAAGAAATATATAAGTTGGAAAGGAAGCGTTTATTATGCGGATGGAAACCATGAATAAGGAAAAAACAGCCCAACACCTATGGAGTGGGAGAAAAAATAAATAAATAAAAAAAAATAAAAGAATTTTGTTCTATGATTAGTCTTTGAAAAGTTTAAAGGGATAGGATTAATAAGATTACAAATAATATCGCATTTCCCTTAAACTAGTGAGGGACATTTATGTGAAATAAAGTGTCCTGTCAACATTTAAGAGATGTTAATTTTTATGTTCTGTAATTTTATTCTACTGAGACATAAAAGGATTTGTAGTTTGCTGAAGAAAGCAACATTTAAGCAAAATTTATGACATTGGGTTTCCATGTATTTTCAAGCATTATAATGCCTAAAATTTTGATGAAAGTAGAAATTTGAACTTTAATATTTTGATATAACTTGAAAAAATGGTTAACTAATCGATATTTTCTCAAATTTACCCAAATAATTTAAGAATGCACCTCAATAACTGCTACTATTATTAAAACACTAAGCGAGCCAAAATAGGCTCAAAACCCTAAATATCATAGTGAATTAATTCAGAAGGAGACAAAGATTGGTTGTAAATGTTGGGAATGACAGATGATGATATTCACCTAATTTAGAAGCAGAACATTCAAATTTTGAATGAAGGAAAGTGACAAATTCCTAAAGTCAAGCACAAGGAGGATGGTTCAATCAATAGCGCCAATGATAATGAGTAATAGCTTTGGGGATGATAGAATAATTGTCAAAGTTGAGTCCTGTAAAAATAATGGTTTGGATAAAATCTTACAGACAATTGTAGGTGATAGTAAGATAATATTCATAGTATATCACTTAAAATTTTGGCATATATAACACATCCATAAGAATATGGTTTTATGAAGGATGCATGGTGCCTTTTTCAAAATCGAGGATGAGTCATTAGCCATGATGATAGATTGCAAATAAGACATGCGAAGAAAGTAATTGACTATTGCCTGTCATGTGGGAAGATGCTCCTAAATGTAAAAACATGAACACATATTCACCTCTAGGGATGATTACAAAGCCAGAACAAGAAGAGGGCAATAAGCAATAGTTACTTGTGAATACTGCATGATATATAATCAAAAGATAATAGTATTTTTCTCAAAAGTGCTCATGAGGATGATTGTTGTCACTGTAATGCAAAGCACATGTTAAAGAGATTTATATGATGAAAACCACCATTTAACTCTAAGTGGTGCCAATGGTAGATATGACTTTTGACACAAGAAGAGCAAAAATAGAAATGATTATACTGTTAGAAGAGGAACACAATTTAGAAGAAGCTCTAATCATAGAGATGAAGAGTTCAGCCCTTGATTCTTCATGTTGTGGGGATAGGTTACGAGATTGAAAGTAGGCACTGACATGGGTAGGAGGTAAGATTATAACAACTAGGATGCCTATATTGTAAATCAGGAGGGTGAGCATACACAATAGAGGGCATGCATGTGATATTATGGGCGGTGTATAGCTTATGGCATCAACAGAATAGCTCAACAACATGGAGAGAGGATGGTAGCAAGCAATTACGTGGATCTGAGTAGGTATATGAGATGTTAATTCTGTAGGGGAGCTTGGTATATATGTTTGCATGATGAGACACAACAAGGCCAGTGGCATTGCAAGCGGAATGCTGGGCAAGCACTTGCATGCGGGATAGTGATTGTCGTGCGAGTAATAGCGAAAGGCAAGTAGTGTTTGTGGGAGGTGATGGATGAGAAGAAGCAATTGAGAGAGCGAGGGTGTGCATTGATCAAATTGTGAAGAAAGTGTAGTACTTGAGGCATGGGAGAAATTCCATGCACCGCAAGGAAAATAATATGCACGATCAAAACAAGGGAGGCAAGCAATGTGAAAGGCAATCAATGCAATTTGAAGGTGGTGCTGGTTTGCAGGCATGAGGGTGACCGTGGGAAAGACAATTGTTAGCGATTGTGATACATGTGTATGTGAGTGGCAAACATAGCCTTTATGCCATATTGTGGGAAGAGTTAGATGATTTTATTCATTGAATAATAAGACTATTAATAGGCTTTACAAATGAATACATTATGAAAAAAATAAATGAAACTATCTAGGGAGAACAAATGTATATTTACCACAATAGATTCATAATATAACCACGCCTTTATAGCATTTCCACATAAGCATAATGCACTCACAATGCTGATAATAGTAATGAAAAGTATAAAGAACAATGCTTAAGAATCCCCATTTCCTGGTTATCTTCTCAAAAGTTATTGTATTTTGGTAGCATTAGTTCCTCTGAACATAGAAATGCGCTAGATCGTAACCATATCTGTCACCAGCTGTGAAAACTATCATATCTGAGATGCTACACTAATTAAGCTTAAAGGTTTTTGTGGTATTGTGGTTTTGGACCAGGTTTAAAGTGTTGGGTATATTGTCTTTGGGCCCTTTACACATAAAGTATAATTAACTCGTATTTTGCACTATTGGTGAGATTAAAGGCTGCCCCAGGAGAGTTTTCAGTGAAAAATGTCGAGTAAAATTTGCTAATTTTTTTTTATGAATTTTGTTGCATTTTTGGTCATATGCTGATGTTCACTTAGGCTTTCTTCTAAAATCAACTTGCGCAAGATTGAAAAACTTCATCTAAGCTCGTGGTTGGCTGTTAACTGGGTGAAAGAAAAAGATGATGAATTCTCTCACTCGTGATTGCTTCCTGTCAAGCAAAATTTATTTGGTTTTCTAAATATCCGTACACTCATGCTTCTTAATACCCATAAATATGCATTTTTTTACATTGTGATTAATGGTGTAGTTACAGAATTGCAATCTTCTCACTCTAAATTGCGTAAAATTTTTGTTAGGGGACTAGAGTATTTTCATGAACTGCATGGAAATTACCAAGCTTCTAGCTCATAGACGATCTACAAAAGCTTTTTTGCTTATTTTTCAACTAAAAGAAAAGCTGTTTTGTATGTACTTTAGACTGAAAAAAAGTAACAAACTTTGCACCAATAATTTTTCAGGCATCTCAACGTGTCTTGCTTGTTTGTTTTGGTTAGGCCTTTTGTGTAAAAATTTCTCGAAGCTACCAGCCACTCTATTTTTGGATTCATTTTTATCTTTACATTTTTCACTTTTTTATTTTCGCATTTCTTTGCTTACTCTCTACTCCATGCTACGAGAATATTTTCTTTATAGAAACACATTTGGTATTTATGGCTTTTATCCCTTCTTATTCTTTCATTTAAACATTTGAAACTAAAAGAAATTTTTACGTCTTCTTATTCTTTCATTTAAACATTTGAAACTAAAATAAATTTTTACGTGCTTATAGAAGTTTCCTCTAGGCAGATAACATTACAATATTATATTTTATGAACTACATGACTTTTGTCCTTCAGTTTATATTAGCTTTACTAGAACATACTACGGATAGTTTGAGTTCGGTAAAGCGATGGGACTCCATAATTGTTGTGTATTTAGCCATCCGTGGCTATTTTGCCATACTTAAACTTACTGTAATCTGATGCGAACTCTTTGTACCAAATACTATTGTGCCTAATACGGTATGCTCGCAGCATATGCTGTGCCAATAGTCTTTGTGTACAGGTCTTAACCATTTGGGACTGAAGCACTAATTTATCATCCATGAATGGCATACAAATAAGTGCTGTAACAGTTTGAACTGTCTTTCAATGAGATATTGTTTGCTTTGTTTTAATGCCTCTCGGTTTTGTCGCATTGGGGTTTAGGGTTGAGGGTAATGTGGAGTTAAAATGACTTCTGTTGCATCAAACCTCGGGTGTAGGATCAGATGAAGTCGTAAAATGTGGGCGTGTTTATGTTGTAAACATATTTGATGTTCTATCAACTGGATTTCTGGTCTCAACAAATTGCTATAGCTCTCAAACTTAAACTATGTCTGGGCTCAAAAGAAGTAAAATTTGGAACAATTTCAGTTCTGTTTATTTTTATTTGCAACGATTCATTTGGATTTTTTGTGCGCTTTCCATACTTTCTCGATTAGATCTTCATTGAATATGAACATAACTGTGCGAAACCTACTGCCATGGATGAACATCCAAACAGATAGATTAGTGATGCAATTTCTTGTTGTCTTGCTTGTGCATATTTTGCAAGAAATGCTGATGCTTCAAGTTTTTCATGTATATCCCTCTTGCCACCCACAGTTGGAAGCGTGCACTCCACGTGTCTCGATAGCATCTCACCTCACTTGAATCATACGCACCACTTTTTCTTTTCCCTATATATGCATCCATGCACAAGGGGCATAAGCTACAGGGGTATTTACATATCATCAGATGTTTGACCATTAATGTGACCAAACCATCTAAGACGATTCTCTCTAATATTATATGCAATTGAAGCTACAACAACCCTTTCACGGATAGATTTATTTCGCATTTTGTCTCCAAGTTTCAAGCCACTCAATCCACGGTCCACCTAAGCATTTGCACCTCAGCAACACTTAACTTTGTTTTATTCCTCTCTTTAAAAGGCCAAGATTCTGCGCCATAAAGCATCACAGGTCTCACCACCCTCTTATAAAATTTTCCTTTAAGTCTCAGCAGTACTTTATAAAAGTTTTGGTGTTAGAAATTTGAATAAATAAGAATAAGGCTGCCAATATGGAGAAGAATTGTAGTGTCCATCTGAAATGGTATGTCCCCATTGATAATTTATCAATTTGTAACATGCAGATAAGGTCATTCTATTCTTTCGGCCAGCAAATAATTTATTTACTCTTTAAATCATGTTGAGGGTTCTTTCCGCGCAATCTCATAATTCGAACTGGAGGATCAGCCAAATCATAAAATCGTCCTTTCCTTTTTATCATCAGGTTCTGCTTGGATGATGCTTTCCCATCAGTTCATTGAGTTCTGCATATGGGGATGGGACAATCTTCCTCGTACCGTTCTGATGTACTACGCAAATTTCCTCTCATCCCCTGAAGGCTATTTTCACACCGTCATTTGTAATGCACCGAACTTTCGCAACACGACTGTCAACCACGACCTGCATTATATTTCGTGGGACAATCCTCCAAAACAGCACCCACATTTCCTTACCACCGACGACTTCTCTCAAATGGTCCTAAGCAATGCTCCCTTTGCGAGGAAATTTCCGAGGGACGATCCTGTGCTTGACAAGATTGATAAGGAGCTACTGAGTCGCGATGCGGTGGATGGGTTCGTGCATGGAGGGTGGTTCGATCGTGTGAATGGCACGAATGATTCGATTTACTTTGCGTCGAGTGTGAAAGACCTCAGACCTGGGCCAGGTGCTGAGAGAATTAAGCGCCTTATAATGGGTTTGCTTACAGCTGAAGGTTTTGATGAGAAGCATTGTATATGAAAAAGTGCAAAGATGGTTGTCGGTTTGTGCTATCCTGTGACTGGAGGAGCTCCAAACCTATTTCAGAGGATGTGATGGCACTGAGAAGAGCCCAACTGGTGATGTGATTACAACTCCGGGGCTACTTTAAAATGAGGTTGTCTTTTAGCAGACTTACAGACATCCACAACTACTTTCTTCTGAAGTTTTTTGGGCTGAAACTGAGGATTACAGGGTTTGCTAAAGTGCCAAATGCTGTTTATCAACAATAATTGGCTCTATGTTGTATTTGTAGCTTTACATCTAGATTTACGAACTCGCTGTATCGATATGAACAAAGCAAAATTACATGATTATGCTTTTTTGTATCTCTAGAATTATGGTTGTCATTGGTTCTGTGGAGTTTCCTCGTATTCCAGTTTAGATTAGGTGCTTGGACATCAAACTAAGTTTTTTTTAGCGGCATTTACATATGTTCAACCCAATTCTTATGTATTTACATATCACAGACTTTTTTTTATAGTTGTACCGCCCAATTCTTTCATATTACATAAAAATGCACCACTGTTATAAATTTTAAAAAGTGAAGTATACCTTTTCATGCATGGATAAGGTGGGGTGTAGATATGTAAATATACATAGGAATTGAGTGATATGTATGCAAATCTTCCATTTTTTTCATACCACATAATTCTTAATCTAACTCCTAAACATTACTTTTTATATTTATAGGGCCTAAATCTTTCATATTACATAAAAGTACCTTAATATTAACTTTTAATAAGTGAAGTAAACCTTTTTCATACATGGGTGGGTAAGGTGGCATGTATGTAAAAATTAAAGTTTAGTTGTTAGATATGTAAATTTACAGGAATTGAGTTGTGTATGTAAATCTTCCTTGTTTTTTTTTAATAGCAAACTGTAGTCATTAGAGTGAAGATGATAGGCTCATAAGGTGGGTTCTATTGACATATTTTCTGAAGTAATAACTGTTAAATGGCTTTGGATAAAAATAGATGAAGATATTTTTTTGCAACTTCTTTGGGACCTAACTTTGCTGCTGAGGACGCTCCCTACTGAGCTCTCGGTTGGGAGAAAAGTTTTCACAAGGAGTCTGAATGCAGCTCTGCACGTGGACTCCAATACGTGTGCTACACTAGGCCCACCTCAAAAAATATTAAAGTGAAACAACGAAAGTTATTGGAGCTGTTCACCTAGCAGTGTTATTGGGTGTTATTTGGGGGTTATTGGAGGATTATTGCGACGTTATTGGAGTTAATAGCCCAATAACCTCCCAAAAACTCCCCAATAACCCCGAAATAACACCAAAAAAATATTAAAGTGGAACAGAGGTTATTGCCCAATAACCCCGAAATAACACCAAAAAAATATTAAAGTGGAACAGAGGTTATTTGAGCGGAACTGTGGAGGTTATTTGAGGAAGAATTGAGAAAAAAAGCTTTTTGCGCTTGAAGGTTATACATAATAAAAGAAAACTTATATAATTAATTACAGCATATTGTTATTGCTTTGAGGGTTGTGTTTTATGATGGTTTGAAATAAATATGTGAATTTTGAAATATTTTTATATTTGGTTTGAATTATATCAAATGCAAAGTATTTGCATTTGAAGTTTGTAATATCTTAGAAAATCTATTTTTGATTAATTTATAATTCACTCAAACTAGATGAGTTTTAAATGCGGGAAATCATAGAGTATGCCTTGTCAATCATAAAACTAAATCTATTGTTCCTGCCATGTTGATCCCTGACTTCAGCTTGGTCAAATAGAACGAATAAGAGCGGGAGAGAGAGAGAGGGAAATCATAGAGTATGCCTTGTCAATCATAAAACCAAATCTATTGTTCCTGCCATGTTGATCCTCTGACTTCAGCTTGGTCAAATAGAACGAATAAGAGGGGGGAGAGAGAGAGGGGGAAATCTGCAAGGAATCGGTGGCTTGGGCAAGAGGGTTTTGTGATGCCCTAGCCCTTGCTCTTAAATAGGGCAAATGTGGTTGTGGCTTAAGGTGGCGAGGTGAGGTCGGAAGAAAAGAAAATTTGAAGGAAAAGAAAGCAGGTTGTGTTTGAATCTAGAAGGCGACAAAGTTTGATCACGTGATTCATGCTATGTGGGAGTGACGAAAAGAAGAGAAAAATGCAAGATTTTTGTTAGTGGCTCAATAACATAGAAAGAAAAGAAATATTTTTGGGTCTTACAGACTATCCCCTTTAAGTGAATTTGATCCACAAATCCATATCTTAGCTTTGGAATAGTTTGGTGTACTTCATAATCATCTTTTCTTCAATCTCTCAAGTTGATTTTTGCACTTACTAGTTTTTTTAAAATGACTCTGAGAAAAGGAGTAAAGGGCTGCAAACCTATTGAGCTTCACGCTCCAAGAAGTGCTCTTATCTTTTTTCATAACTCAGGTCTTCTTGAATCACCAACGACTCGTACTTGATGATGTGAAAGTTATTATGCATGTAACACCGAAGTAGAGAGATGTGGAAGCCATTGTGTACTCCTATAAGCCTTGGAGGAAGAGCCAAATAATATGCAACTTTGCCAACATTTTTTATCACCCCAAAAGAACCAATGAAGCGAGACCAAAGCTTTCCAATATGGCCAAATCTCGTAACTCCATGTATAAGTGAAATCTTTAGAAAAAAACATAATCTCCAATCTTGAATTCAAGCAACCTATGCTAGGGATTGAATTATTTTTTTTGATGAGCCTAGAAACACTTAGTCAATCTCAAATCCTACGAATCTTCTTTGTTGCTCGATCAACTATTTGAGGTACAAATTCTTTCACCAACCTCAAACCAAAACATGGGAGATATGCACTTTCTGCCATAGATTTCCTCGTACGACTTATTGTCGATGTGAGCATGAAAGTTGCTATTATAAGCAAACTCAACCACTGGAATATAATCCTCCCAAACTACATTTGAAGTTCAAAATGCACGAAATTAAAAAGTTTTCTAAGGTATGTATTTTCCTCTTCAATTGTATGTTTATCTAATAATGAAATGTAACATTGAAGTCCAATCTTGTGCCTGTAGCTTCTTACACTCGCTTCCATAGTATGAAAGCAAATATTTCATGCTAATCTGATACAATGATGATTAGAATTTCATGCAGCTGAATGTTGTTATCTATGTAGATCTTGGCTAAGTTCTCAACTAACTAAGTCTGCTTGATTGACAAAAAAAAAAGCTTAGTTAGCTTATCAACCACAACCTAAATAACATCATATCCTTACTTTGATTTCGGCAAGGTAACAATGAAATTTGTTGCAATCTACTCCAATTTTCACTCTAGAATGGGAAGGGGCTGCAATAAACAACAAAGTCTCTAATATTCCGCCTTAACCATATGACAGGTAAAATATTTGGTCTTAAACTCAGCTATGTCTATCTTCATAATCAACCACCAAAACAACTTATTGATGTCTCATTACATATTAATACTTTTCGGATGAGCACAATACAAAGTAGAGCGCACCTCATAGAGTATTTCTTGTCGAAGTCTTTAATGATCTAGAACACATAGACAATCCTGAAATCTTAAAGTTTCATCTTGATCAATATTGAACTTAGGCTTTGGCTCATTATGAGATTGCTCTCTAAGTTGTATTAAGTTTACATCCCTCATCTAAGCAACACGAACATGATACAAAAGCATATGTTGAACTGACATAATGGTAATAATCAGGGCAAACACCAAATAACTCTTAAGTTTCAAAAAACTCAGCCCACGAGCATCAAACCATTCAAACTTAATAGCCTTTTGAGTTAGTCTTGATATAGATGCAACAATATTAGAAAAAAAACTTACAAAAAAGTTTCAATAACAACCAGCTAAACCAAAGAAAAAATAAATCTTTATAAGTGTTCGATATTGTCTAATCCATTATTTCCATATTCTTTACAGGATCCACATAAATTCCAGCTCTACTAACAACATGCCTTAGAAATGCTATTTTTCAAAACCAAAATTCACACATAGAGAATTTGAAATAAAGCTTGGTCTCTTGAAGAGTATTCAATGTTACTCTTAGATGTTGAGCATGTTTTTCTTCATTCTTTGAGTAAACCAAAATATCATCCAAGAAAACAATGACATATCAATTCAAGTAAGATTTGAAGGCTCTATCTATCAAATCCATAAAGGCAATAGATGTATTATTCAAACTAAATGACATCATCAAGACTTCATAATGCTCATATCAAGATGAGTATACAATCTTCAGAATGTCTCCACCATTGATTGATCTTCATATGATGGTAGCCAGAGCATAGACCAATCTTGAAAAACATACAATACCCTTAATGTTGATCGAACATATCATCTATAGGAGGCAGTGGGTAATTGTTATTCATAATTACCTTATTTAGTTCTCTATAGTCAATGCACAATCTCATGTTCCCATCTTTCTTTTTCACAAACAAAAATGATCCTCCTCAATGGGAAATGTTGGGTCAAAAAAATTCTTTATCAAACAATTCTTATGATTTAAATTTGAGCTACTAGAGTTCAATAGTGGCCATCTAATATGATGCTTTAGAAATTGGAGTAGTTCATAAAAGTATGTTTATAGTGAACTCAATCTTACAATCCGTTGTTAAGCCAAATAATCTTTAGAAATTATATCAAATAATTCTCAAACCATTGGAAAGATATCTTATTTAATACTGAATTGGTTGGAATCTATCACATGAGATAGATAACCAAAAAACTTATTGGAGATTAACTTGTAAGCCTTAATTGTTAATCTATAATAATATGATATGTAGATAGCTTGTCCATACCCAATATTGCATCAAACTTCATTGGTGGAAATATTATGAGTGCAACATGCATAGGCATGTTATTAATAATAATGTCATAACCATGAATGCACCAAACGACAGTAACAGATGAGTTATATGACATAATAATTGATAAATGTGACTACAATGAAAAATTGATGTAAATTTATTTGACATGAATGAATGAAATACCCCAGAGTCAAACAATACTCTTATTGATTGCTTTAAAATAAAGATAATACATTTCACCATATCAAGAGCTTTGTGGGTATTTGGTATTGTTAGTATTGTTGGTATTGTGACGTAGGAGGACTTGAGATTGTTGAAGTGGAATCACCTATCTAATTTGTTTTGGAGCTTGAGATTGTTGAGTCTGATACTGCATTGTTGAATGATGTTGATATATCAGAGGAGGCTTTGGGTATTGTTAGTAGTGTTTTTTTGTGATGTAGGAGAACTTGACTACTACAGTTGGGACACCATCACTTACTGTGGCTACTGTGGAGATTGAAAATAATTCTGCTTTGTTTAACCCTTCACATGATGCTTATGATATTGACCTTTATTAGATTTCCAACACTTATTCTTGTGTTGATACTTATAATTATTCTCCTGGGTGATTGTCACTTGTAATTGACCTAAAACTTTGAGGGGACAATCCTTGGCTTTATGGCCAATACTATAACAGTTAAAAAATTTCAGTTGGTCTATTTCTCAGGTCAATGTCAATGAGGCAAAGGGCACAAAAAATTGTTTTGGTTTCTTTGTCCCGCAATGTGGGCGCATCAGGCTCTTTGGTCTTAGCCATTTATTACTATGATAGCAAAAACAAACATCCATAAATAAGAGCATGCTGAAGCAATCCAACTTTATATGTCTCTTGGAAGTGGTATGAGCAATAAATTATATTAGATATCCATAATATTCTACCACAACATTTTTTTGGGGCTATCTTATGTAATTATTTATTTCAAATAATGTGTGTGTGATTGCAAAAATATTTTTCTTAGCATAAATTTGAAACTGGTACGCTTGATCATGCTCAGACAATCCACAACTACATATGTTTCCTAGAAGTGAGTATAAAAATGATGACACAGATGATGCTGCTATTTCTCACAATATTTTCTCATTATATGCCTCAAAAGGTATCAATAAATATGCATAATTTGCTATCACGGTAATTGTCTAATCAAAAGCTTTGAAAAACATGTACTCATGAGTATGCTTAGACAGACCACATATACATTGTTTCCTAGCAGTGAGTCTAAAAATGATAACAAACATGGTTTATTGCTCTTTCTTACAATATTTTCTCGTTTGCATGCTCAAACAGTTCATTTTCTTACAATATTTTCTCGTTTGCATGCTCAAACAATTCATAGCTACAACTAGCAGTGAGCATAAAACTGATAACAAAGATGGTTTGTTGCCCATTCTTATAATATTTTCTCATTATACACCCCAAGGGGTATCAGTAGCTATGCATTAAATGATCTTATTGTTGTATTATTGTAGTCTTTTTATGAAATTATTGAGGTTTTATCATGATGTTATGTTACCACTCAAATAACACCTCAATAATGCCGCGAAACACGACTCAAATAGACCACAACTACATATGTTTCCTAGCAGTGAGCATAAAAATGATGACAAATATGATATGTTGCCCTTTCTTATAATATTTTCTCATTATATGCCCCAAGGGTATTGGTACATATGCATAATATGTCATCACAATAATTTTTTGAGGCTATCTACTTCACTGCCTTACTTCAGAGAGTGTGTGTATGATTGAAAATATATGTTTTTCTAAGCCTATCATTTGCAATTCAGTTAGCATGAGCATGCACAAACATACCACAACTACATATGTTTCCTTGCAGAGAGCATAAAAATGATGACAAAGATTTGTTGCCATTTATTACAATATGTCTTAAGAGATATTAGTATCTATGCATAATATGTCATCACAATAACTTTCTTAAGCTATTTATTTCATTGTCTCACTTCAGTGAATGTGCGTGTGATTGAAAAATATGATTTTCTAAGCCTAACATATGAAATTCAGTTTGCATGAGCATCGCAAATAGACCACATCTACATATGTTTCCTAGCAGTGAGCATAGAAATGATGACAAAGATGATCTGTTGCCATTTCTTACAAAATTTTCTCATTATATGCCCTAAGGGGTATTAATAACTGTGCATAATATGCCATCGTAGTAATTTTTTGTGGTTATCTATTTCACTGCCTCACTCAGAGTGTGTGTGTATGTGTGTGATTGAAAAATATGGTTTTTAAGCAAACCATTTGCAATTTGATTTGCATGAGCATGTGAAAATAGACCACAACTACATATGTTTCCTAGCAGTGAGCATAAAAATGATGACAAAGATGATATGTTGTTCATTTTTACAATATTTTCTCATTATATGCCCTAAGGGATATCAGTAGTAATGCATAATATGTCATCACATTAATTTTTTGAGGTGATCTATTTCACTACCTTACTTTCAGAGTGTGTGTGTGTGATTGAAAAATATGCTTTTATAAGCATAACATTTACAATTCGATTTGCTTGAGCATGCTAAAATAGACCACAACTACATATGTTTTCAGCGGTGAGCATAAAAATGAGGACAAAGATGATCTATTTCCATTTGTTACAATTTTTTCTCATTATATGCCTCAAGGGATATCAGTAGTTATGCATAATATGTCATCAAAGTATTTTTTGAGGCTATCTATTTCACTGTCTCACTTCAGAGTGTGTGTACGTGAATGAAAAATATGCTAAACGACGATACCATAAATATGAATGAAAAATTTGCTATACGATGCAAATCCACAAGAAACAAAATTTTTTTAAAGAGAATATAAAGAAAGGTGATACCAAAAGAAGATGGTGTCCGGAAACATGGGTTAGGACAAATGAATCAGAAGCTCCGCAAGGAAGGTAAGGGCAAAATTAAAACGTAGGGTGAAATCCAAGGGCAAGTGCGTAAAATATCGGAGAAGAAATGCGGGCCGCGGGGTAGAACTCGTGACCTGCATTTTGTTAAACGGTATGACCACCGTGAGCAAAACACTGCCTAAACAACGCAGATTAATGACCCCATGTCACGCCAAGCGAAAACTGCCAGCCAAAATGGGCCCTAAGTCGACAAGATGAAGTCGAAAGAAAAGAAAATCGAAAGAAAATGAAAGTAGAGCACACTTGAATCAGGAAGACAACAAAGGCTGAATCATTTTTTTTTAAATAAGTTGGCTCACAAGCTAACAAGTTTAGTCGGGGCTGGCTTGAGCTCGACTTGTTAGCTCATCAAGCTAAACTCACGAGCTACTTAGCGAGTTGAGTTAGAGCCGACTCATGTGCTTACTTGGTTGACTTGGCTCAATTATACCCATACTGTACAATAGTTGTGAACATTTCTCAATTGTTTCACTTATAAAAAGAGCATTCACCTAAATTAGGAAAGTTTTTCTCTGCATAGTTGATGAATATCTTTCATTTGCCTTGCAAGCAATTTTATCAAAGGCCATCATTTGTTTCCAAAAGGATGTACCAGATGGTAATACAAGAATTATATGAAAAGATGTACACTTACTAAAGACATAATAGTTGAGAGTATAGTTTTTGGCAATGAGGTCTCATTTTCGAATAGTGCATATTGCCTTTTATGTTCATGCTTCCCCAAAAAAAGAATTAGATAAAAGAAATTACCACGTGAGTGGTGAAATCATAGATTAAGTGATTAATTCTTTCATATTATGTAAATGCTATTCAAGATTATTTCAATATAACCTGCTGTCAATTGTAATTTAGTTAAGCCGTCGATTAATATGAGACATTTAGGCTTCATTTGAAGTAGTTTTTTTTTTTTAAGACATCCGCAGAAAGTAAAGAACGATTTAATAACAAAAATGGTGAAAAATTACCGCTCCTGTGAAACAACTCTCGAAACATTGAGGAAATTCTGTTTCACCAATTAAAATTTGTTTAATGCGTATACATTCACTGCAATGTATTGGGGCTTCACAATATTCTAAAACTAAACCTTGAAATGAAGTTGAAATATTTCATGATCAATTAATAAAAATTGAATTATGAATTAATGTTTAATTGATTTAATAGAATTTTGCTCATCTATTAATTTAGTGTATAATTTATCAATAATTATGTAATTACTCTCATTAAAACCTAAGTTGATTGTGAAAAAAATTGATAAATAGTTAATAATTAATCGACATAGTTTAAAACTAAGAAAAAATAAATCATTATTAACTAATTTTAATAAATACATTATTAATATATAATTCTAAATTTATATTTGATTTAGCAGACATAAATTCTAAAATAAAATTTTCAGATAAATCTTATATGATGTAACCAAATTCAAGCTCTTATATACCAAATAAATTGTTAAGTGCGTTACAAATGTTACAAATATTCTACTAACTTTCTTTATATTTATATATATAATACTTAAAATTTACTTTTTACATTAAATTATGTATAGATAATGACATGGGTGCAAAAATTAAAATTTTAGTTTTAGAAAGGCAAATATGTAGGAATCTTCATTTCTTTAATTTAACCAGAATTTAGTAAATCTCGTATCTATTCTTCTGGGTCGAACTTGGAAGAAAAAAATTATTACATCAGTACTACACACTAAGGGTAACGTGCATAGCCAATGAAATCACGCCACGACACCTCAAGCGACAGGAACAAAAAAACGGCGTGGTAACACAAAGAATATTTCCTCCCGTGTTATTCATGTGTTATTGTGTGTTATTCCTGTGTTACTGATGTGTTATTGTGTTATTATAAAACCAAGAATATTCTGAGGATACAATAACACATGAATAACACACAATAACACTAGAATAACACGGGGAATATTCCCGACAGAAAAAAACGATGCGATAACACGAGGAATATTCTCCCCCGTGTTATTCATGTGTTATTATGTGTTATTGATGTGTTATTGTGCTATTATAACACCAGAAATATTTCCATGATACAATAACACATGAATAATACACAATAACACATAAATAATAAGGAGGAAATATTTTCCGTGTTATTGAGTCTTTTTTTTTTATTTTTTTTTTTATTTTTTATGTTGAGTGGGGTGTCCTGGATTGATTTACTCTAAGTGCTTGCTTAGTACAGGTAATATTTTTTCTTCTTTAATTTAACCAGAATTTAGTAAATCTCGTATTTTTCCTATTCTTCTGGGTCGAACTCGGAAGAACACCAGATTCGGAAGCTTGAATCGTCGGCGATGTTGACGACATCTTCCCTACCACTCCTTTCCCATCAGCATCAGCAGCCTTTACAGTTGCCCCCTTCAGTCTCGCACCCATTGTCCTCCCCCCAGTCCTCATCGTGCCTAGTCATCGCCACGCGATATAGCCCTAGCCTTACACGGCATTGCCCTAGTATTCGGCATGAGAACTTCTACCATCACCTCTCAGACTCTTCATTGGGGTGTTACGGGAATTCCGGTAAGCTGACATTATATATATTTCTTTAGGAATTTAGCGCTCTTTGCTTTTGTATATTATAATTTGTTTACTTCCGAACTAATCACTGCTTTATAAAGTTTAACGGAGGGGATATCACTCGCCTGCATGCTAGTGCTTTAATTTTCAATTCATGTTTTGATTTTTTTGGTTTTGCTTTTGTTTTAAATTTGGTAGAAGCAGATAAGTAAATGTATGTTTGTCAATCATATTTACTTATGGTCATTGAAGTTTAAAAGTGTAAACGATTTGATTGTCCGGCAGACGAGGCAGCGTGAGACAATCATACCGCTCAAAGGTTTAAAATTGGATAGGGATTTAGATGTGATGAGAAAGCAAACATAGAGGAGATAAGAGCGCAATCAACAATGAATTCAAGATTTAGAGTGGTTAGAATTGAATGAATAAATGAACTTTGGAGCCTACTCTCATGGTGCACAAATTTGAATCAAGTATAAGATTAATGTGTCCCTCCCTTGGAGCCGAGATGACAAACAAAGAAAGGGCAGAGTATTATAATAGATGAGGTTTATTGTTCCCATAGCGAAGCATGTGGTATTATTGATTTTTCTGTTTGAGCTAAGGAGGTTAAATTGCTGCTAGGTTTCGAAAGGTTCTTTTATGTAATGACCCAAATTCTCATCCATCGAGATATTATCTGTTATGGCTTAATACTTCAAGATTTTGTCCCATTGATGTAACTTCATAGGAGTTCATTCATCTTAAGAGTGCTCCCACACAAATACACTTAAATTTTAAGTTTTTGATGAAATTCCAACCGTTACTATAGTTTAGCTTCATTTTCATGGCCTAAAGGTTTTTTCTCATTGGTATAACTTATCAGAACATCCATCATGAGAATGGTATTGTACGAGCACACTTCATTGTACTTGAGGGGTTTTACGCTTAAGGCTGAATATCACCTTGTAGCCGCTCAATTAGTTTAAAAAGTGAAAAGTTTATATGTCCAAGAGGATTTTTGGACTCTGGATTTCACGAGAGGGGTGCTATATGTAGGTTATCAGTTGGCACGTGGCGTTCTATGCTTGTGAGTTCTACTACATTTTTGGGATGACACATTCTGAGGGAGATCTGCTAGAATCTTTGCCTTGAAAGAATTTCTCATGTATTTAAGGGCATTGCAATATCACCAAGGTGTTCAAGTGGGCTTCAATCTATAAGACGACCATGCTTGGCATTGAGTAAATTAAAAAAAAACTCTGTCAGTTGCCTAGCTAAGAATCATGAAGTATGTGATCTCGTTTAAAGATGTATGTATGGTAGACACGCGACTCTATCTTTTGTGATATGGTCTTTTCGAAAAGGATATGATGAGAACACTTGTTGATGTGTTTTGAATAACTCCCTAGTAAATTACATGTTGCCAAGAGATTTCCCACAATTACTCTAGGGCTATTCCTCAAACTAGCTATGGCTACACCTTTTTTTTGGGTGCCATTCTACACAAATAAAATAAAGAAATGAAAGCATAAAATAAAAAAAAAGTTAATAAGGTAACTATACTTAATATAATAATAATTAAAATAAATCAAAATGAACCCGTTCCACTATCCTATATTAAGAAAAAGTAAGGTATATTGAATACAAACATAGTCACTAACAAGGTTTAGAAAACTAGACCATACCGACCGATTAGACTGGTGGCCGGTCTGATCCAAAACACATAATAAACCATTTTTGTCATCGAATCGCCAGTTCAACTAACAAACAGGCGAATTGGTTCCCTTCTTTTGAAAGTTGTGAATATTACTTTATGTACTTTTTTCTCATCGTTCTAAGATTGGTTACATCACATTAGCCACACATTGGTCATTTTTCCAACTCAAAACACTATCCCGTCAACACGTCAAGTACCGACATGCTTCGGATTCCAAATCCCATTAATTTATTAAATATCTGGCGGTTGCAAGAGAGAGAGAGAGAGAGAGAGAGAGAGAGGGAGAGAGAGAGAGAGAGAGGAGGAGGAGGAGGCGGAGGAGAAAAAAGATTACATTGGCATGTAAGCTTATAAGAAAGGTTTATAGTGGGTCAATTTTTCTTGGGAATAAATTTATTTTGGGAATAAGGCCAGCTGCTCTTATGAAAGAGATATTGATGGCTCTGTTATGGATGTACTCAATGACTTGGATTACTATTTTTTTGTTTTAAAAACATAAAACAATTGTGATTGTATTTATCTGTTTATTTATTTTTTATATTTGTATTATTATATTGTTATTACATCATTTATGTTATATTTAATTAAATTTTATATTTATTACGCTGTTGGGTTCAATTCTGGTCAATCCAATGAATCTTAAACATTTCCTTCTTTCGATTTGATATTCGGTATAATTTTCCACAACCTTGGTCACTAATACCACACCATCAGACTTTAAGTTTTTAAGTTGGCACTTTGGCAACATGAGATATGTGAAAGGATTTAATCTCAACTCATGCGAGAAATCCCAAGGTTCACGATTGACTTACATAATTATGTATTTAAGAGGAAATATTCATGCATGAATTAATGTAAGCAAAAAAGATAGGGATAAAATTTATTCTATTAACATATTTTTTAACAATATTTCAACAATGAAAACATAAATTTATGGAAATAAAAGGAAAGAAACCAATTACATATGCAATTATTTACCCAAAATCTTATGGAAATCTAAACAATGAAACTACAACTTAGAAATAAATATTTAATTAAGTTTTGCTAAAAGATTTATCTTATAGTAGTGATCTGCCAATCAATGCGATGAATATGTTAAAAAATTTAACCACTAAGGAGTGTGTTATGCAAACTCAATAAATGATTTATATATATTAAAACATAAATTATAAGGGAAGCAATTTTCTTTCTTGTTTCTCATTAAAATCATATGTTATATATTTATATGCACTCCCATCTTTATAGATTAGGATTATCTCTAATATATAAAAGATCCTATAATTAGATTTCTTATTAGATTACTTGATATAATGCTTTCTAATATACAATCTTACTAATATACTAGTTTTAGATTTATTACTTTCCATAACACTTCCCCTCATGCTGGAGCGTAAGTACTTATTATGCCTAACTTGTTATAAATATAAGTGACCCTAGCTCCATTAATGATATTTGTGAAGATGTCCCCTAGTTATTCCCCAACCTTGACATGAGCTATATGGATCAAATTTTGTTGAATTTTTTTACGAACAAAATAACAATATTTCTCAATATGCTTAGTTTGGTCATGAAAGATAGAGTTTGAGGCAATATGGATTGTAATTTGGTTATCACACCACAACTTTCTTGGAACTGTTATTAAAACTCATTTCTTTCAAGAATTGGGAGACTCTTATTAATTCACTCGAAACTTATAACATTACTCGATATTCAGATTCCGCACTAGATCGTGACATTGAATTATGTTTCTTATTCCACGAGACCAAATTGCCACAAACAAAACACGATATCCAGCAATAGATCTCCGATCAATCTTGGAACTCGTTCAATCTGCATTAAAAAAATATTCAATATTTTTATACTCATGATTTTGATATAGAATATCTTGTCCAAGAGGTTTTTTGAGGTAATATGGTATCTATTTAAAAGCTAACCAATGATGGATTGTGGGGAGAACATGAACTGACTTATAGTTACAACCTAATAAGCAATGTTAGAGTGAGTCACTGTGCGGCAATTTAATTTTTTTTCTAACTTTCTATATGGTTCAGGATTATTAAAAGCCTTTCCATCCTTTGTAAGTTATTGAATAGGAAGCATTGGAGTACAACTTGGTTTGACTTCTAATTTCCCAATATTTGCTAACAAAATCAAAACAGTCTTTCGTTTTGATAAAAAGATACCCTTCTTGCTCCTTGATAGCTCAATTCCCGAGAAGTATTTCAAGGAACTCAGATCTTTAGTGTTGAATTGATGTTGAAGAAATGATTCACTGATAAGATTTCTTACACATCGCTTTTAATAATAATAATAATATCAACAACATAGAATTTTAATAAAATAATCCCAAAGGCAGATTGCTTGTAGAATAAAGTGTGATCACTTTTACTTTTTTGCATTCCAAACTCTTCTGATGTTTGTCTAAATTTTTTAAATCATGCTCCAGGATTTTTCTTCAATCCATATAATAACTTCCAAAGACAACATATTTTCCCAGACTGCCCCTATGCAATAAACTCAGAATGTTGCTCCATTTAAACTTCTTCTAATAAATCACCGATAAAAAATGCATTCCTCACATCAAGCAGATGCACGAGCCAATTATTCATTGCGACTAAGGACAAGAATAGGTGAATTGAAGTCAACTTACCTACCAGAAAGAATGTGCCCAAGTAGTTAAGTCCATAAGTTTGAGCACAGCCTTTATCAACCGCCTGAGCTTTGAGACAAGCTATAGATCCATCAGAGTAAAACTTAGCCGCAAATACCCATTTATAACCAACAACCTTTTTGCTTGAAATTAGCTCAATTAGTTCCCAAATTTAATCTTTAGTTAGTAGATTTATTTCATCAAACATTGCTTTCCGCCACCCAGAATAAGATAGGGCTTGCTGAACAGATTTTGGGATCTCAACAGAGTCACGAGAAGTAATAAAAGAGCTAGAAGTAGAAGATAATTGGTTATAGTTAACACACAAGGCAATGTGATAGACACATTGATGTTTACCTCTTCGAAGAGCAATGGATAAATCAAGTTCACTAGGAGGAGGATCCACTAAAGAAGATGATACAGGTGCCAAGCTAGGACAGAGAGGCGAGGTCTTTTTAAATAAACATTAGTGATATGTGGTTTCGGCTGGGGCATTAGCGCTGGAAGAGGCGCTGAACTGATAATATGATACATTAAGAAATCATTAGAATCTTGTGAGGATTTAGGCAATGATGAGTCACTAAAGTATGTTGTTTGTTTATGCTACATTAGTAGAGACCATGTACCTGTTTAAGAGGAGAAAAATATCAATAT